CAGATTACGGCCCGAGTCACACTGTCACACAGCCGTCATAATTAGGTCCACCGAAGAGGTCGGGGTGCACTCGGATTATCCCCCCGTCGCGTCGTCGCGCAGGTATTCTGCCGTCCTCGGGAAGAACACCGTATGCGCCTTCAGACGTTGCCAAGTTTCCTTCGATAAAAAACAAATTTGCTAGGAAAATTTTGAATAATTTTTCCGACGATTTTCAGAAAATTTAGCACGCAATTTAATCTAAAATATTTGAAAATTTCGAGGGGAATGTGCATGAATGTCATTAAAAATACATATTTTATCATGGGAAAATTGACAACTCTTGAATGTTCATACGGCGTTTTTCCTTAGCACGGCAGTATTCGTCCGAATATTATAATCTTTTAAAAATAATGAGGGGCTGTCCGCGCCGCGGTATTGGTAGGACTTGACGCTGAAACTCAAACGTGAGGGTTGGCTAAGAGTGGATCATCTTCACTTCTTTAAGTATTATTAAAACATTGTCTCCCTCTAGCAAAAGTATCAGAAGTATCAAAGTATCCTCTGACGTAAGGGCATATCTCAATGGAGATGTTGCATGTATGAGGAATTTGCGATTTGACTGTTGATTGTTACGTAAAAGTTCGCGAGAAACACGATGTGGCCTCTGGTTTTCTCTGAAATCAACTCCCAAGCTCAAAAAAAGCTCTCAAGTTAAGGCCAAAATGGAGGGGATATCCCACGCTATTCTGAGAGTCCACGTCTACATCAAGACAAACTCTCCATGCAAAGATAGGGAGCAAATACATTGACAGGGCTGCCACTTAATTTGGGGACTCCAAAACTGAAAACACGGCAACCCCGCTAATGTATTTGCTCCCTATCTTTGCATGGAGAGATTGTCTTGATGTAGACGTGGACTCTCAGGATAGCGTGGGATATCCCCTCCATTTTGGCCTCACTTTGAGAGCTTTTTTTGAGCTTGGGAGATGATTTCAGAGAAAACCAGTGGCACCATCATGTTACTCGCGATCTTTTATATAAGACTCAATAGTCAATTCGCAAATTCCTCACACATGCAACATCTCCATTGAGATACGCCCTTACGTCAGAGGGGCAAAGACATGCACAGCTTCACCGGCGCGCGGTTCCGAGGTTGTAAAAATCGTATAAAGTTGTGTTAAGTAGTTCGTCGCGCTCGGCGGGACAAACACGGCCCCCTCCCCCGCTCATCGTTGACGGGGAGCTAGGAAATAGGTTAAGAGGGAAAAAATGAGAGCTGACTGGCAGGGCGGCAGGGCCCGGGCGGGGAATGAGTTCGACCCGGGATGAGGGAGCACTTTTCGAGAAGCCATTACCTTCACCGTCCCTGTTACGTATTCATGGAGAAGAATACACTTGTTTCGCCCTCCGCCCGAGCGGGCACGAATGTAAACCCCCCTCCGACCCCCCGTCCCCTGGAATTTCACCCCCGGCTCTGGGTCAGTAGACAATATTTGAATAAAAGCGTTTCCTTGGATTTCCTCTTCAAATTTTCTCGTGCAAAACTATCCACACACGGGAGAACTCAGTTTGAGCCACATGGACCATGCAGTTTCTTGTGTCCACACGGAGAAAAAAACTTCGTGCGTCGGACCCGAAGTTAAGGTCATATGGATCTCTGAGATTTTCGGATTGAGCATCCGAACACTTAAGGTCCAGCTGCTGAGGTTTGGATCCCACATCTGAAACTTCAGTTCTTACATCCAAAAAACTTCGGTTCCCACATCCGAAAAACTTCGGTTCTCACATCTGAAGTACTTCAGATATAAAAACTGAAGTTTCAGATATGTGATCCAAACCTCGACAGCTAGACCTAAAGTGTTCAGATGCTCAATCCGAAAACTTCAGAGATCCATTTGACCCAAACTTCGGGTCCCACGCACGAGGTTTTTCTCTCCGTGCACCTTTGCACATTTTCGAACTTTACACTTTAAGGTGATTCGATAGACGCCATATTTTGTGTCAGAACGGCATGCGATATATCGCATCAATTGGTTCCAGTTTTTTCAGCTACGCGTCATTTTTCTCCAATTTTGAGATCGCAATTCTGTCGTCAGGAGACTAAAGCACTCGCTTACCAATTTAAAAAAAGAAATTCAATGTAATAATGGCGTGGTTTTCTCTCTAAAAAACGCCACGCCTCTATTCCGTTGAATTGCTTTGTTAAAATTGGTAAGTGAGTGATTTAGTCTCCTGATAACGGAATTGCGATCTCAAAATTGGAGAAAAATGACGAGTAGCTGAAAAAATGGAACTAATTGATGCGATATATCGCATGCCGTTCTAACACAAAATATGGCGTCTATCAAATCACCTTGAAGCAATTTTTGTAAGTCGGCAACGCGGTTGTTCCTCCATTTAAACCCATTAAAAATATCGATTCTAGGCGAGGCAATAAGTCGATTGTTTTACGTGTATCTCAATGGACCGCGTTGAACAGAAAGGAACCAAGCCACATCAGCTATTGCAAAATTTAATTGGGCAATTTAATTTTTCACATGAAAACGGTTCTGCGGATTTTCGTGGAAATTGAAGTGAAAATTCTCTATAGTTTGAAGCAAATGCCTTAAAAATTTCAAAGGAATTCGCACAAACGTTTTCTCGTAAAAATTTGCATTGCCGAGTTTAACTTGGCAATAGCTGATGTGACTTGGTTCCTTTCTGTTAAACTCGGTCCAAATGCAAGAGCAGCAGTGTCGCCAACTTGCAAAAATCGCCACAGGCTTTCTGGAAACGTGTTGTTGAGCCCTGCAATCCTCCTCGTCCATTAATTTTATGAAGAAACCTCATCTCTGGAAGAAACCTGCCGACCACACAATACCAATAACGGATACTTCAGCTGCTGCATGCATGAAGCCGGAGCAACAGCTGAGTCGGAGATTTATGTAAAACATCAAAGGCCTCAGGAGCGGCGTCGCTGTGGAAATGTCTTCGGATAATCGGACGTCAATTAAGATGTAAATGAACGTCTTAATCAGGTATGTGAAACGAGATGTGAAACTGAGCGACGCGTTGGCACAGCCAATCCGCTTAGCGCAGTAAAATTGCCTCAATTGAAGTGTATTTACAAGTGTTTTGATGCAGTTGCTCCATCTTGGCACGCGTGAAGCTGCCGCGAGAGGACCGGAGAACCCGTATGATTAGAGTGCATTCGTTCAGCACCGGTTTCAGAGATTTTTATGATTAGTATCGGATGTGGACCGCTTTCAGCAGAAAGGAACCAAGCCGCCTCAGCTGTTGCCAAACTTAACCGGGAAATTTGGTTATTTACTAGAGAACGGTTGGGCAGATTTCTTTGAAAATTCTAAAGGATTTGCTTCGGACTGTACAGAAAATTCAATGAAATTTGCATAAAAATCCGTTCTCCAATTAAATTTGGCAATTGCGGATGTGGCTTGGTTTCTTTCTGCTTAACGCGGTCCATGAACGTTTAGAATCGAAAAGGCATAAGGGTCATTTTTAGGCGAAATGGCTCGGTATATCGATGGACAATGTGCGAAACCACGTATCTCCAGGGAGGTATATGGCAGGAAGTCTGCAACGTCGCAAACGGAAATGCCTTGTTTTGCTCTGTTGCCATCCATATTTGGATTGCATTTTGCAAAAAGGAACCAGAAGCAAACATGGAGGCAGGAACAATGATGCTAAGATTGTGCAACTTCATCCTTTGCAATAAAATTGCCGATATCATGAAAAAATATGAAACTTACATGGTAATTTTTGTCTTAAATTCACAGTTTTCAGCGAGTAAGATAGAGACTGTTAATAAATAATCAGATTTTTCTTCCAAGACCTTGTCCACACGAGCGCAGTTCGCGGAACTTATTCCTCGAACTTGCTCAGTTCCCGGAACTTACTCCTTGAAACGAGGCATGCTGTCCACACGGGTTCGTCCGAACTGGAACCGGAACTTCAATAAAACTATACAATTATTGCAAAATAATAGATTATTATGACCGCCAAAGTAACAAAAATAAATGTCAAGATCATATGTAAAGGACGTGAAAAACAAAAACAAGCAAATTCACATCAAAAGAAACATATTTAGAAGCTCGGAGCACGGGGGAAATTCCAGGTTTTGGAGGAATAAGTTTCAGCTCAGCAAAAAACTTGTTCCGGGAACAAGTTCCTCGAACTGAGTTCCGCGAACCGCGTTCCGCGAACCGCGTTCGTGTGGACAAGGCCCAAGACAAAAGAATTTGCACAATCTTAGCAACATTGCAATGCTCCTGGTTCCTTTTAGCAAAATGTAATCCATTTTTTTCTGGCAAATATTCATTTTTAAGAACAACGTGAGTACTTCAACGTCTAGGTGCTTGCCCTGGAACCAACATCATTCGTTTTCTACTGTTCATTCAGAAATTGTAGGAAAATCCGTGCAAATATTAACCATCAAAAGAAATGAAACGTAAGAAAAATGCACGGGAGTAATCTATCATGCTGAGGGAAAACACCGTTTGGAAATTCGAGAGTTGCCAAGTTTTCGCCATTGAAGTGTTGATTTTTTAGGAGAGTAATGAAATTTTACCTTGAAATTGTCAGAAACTGTAACTTTAATTGCGAGTGGAATTCTGCGAAAAATCGTGGGAAAAATCGCAGGTTTTCGGGCGAATTCGCGTTACATCCAAGTAAATTTAGCATCACCTAAAGTCCCTTCTGTCTCTTACGGCGTTTTACCTTGGCGCAGTTATAAGGATTAGAAAAAAATTTGAGCGGATGAACTATTTTTATAAAAACAAAGCTTGAGAGAGTAATCGCAGCGTTTTTGCAGCGCAAAGGAATACTCTGCAAAGGAAGCTCAGCCGAAAAAAAACCTTTTTTCCAAGGTGAGCGCCGCTCCTGAGAACAGAATAGGGATCCGGGCATGGTTGTAAGACTTGACCGCTAGAGAGCGCCAGAGAGCGGGATAGGAGTGAGCGGCGCCGCATTCGCCCCTGCCGATAGCGAGTGTTTATATTTTCAAGCAGTTGATTTTTCGCTCCCGAGCAGAGAGGAACGCGCGTCGCCCGGCGATTCTGTTTGTTTTTCTAACTCCTCATAGTCACCCCGGCGTGTTTTGTGTTCAATTACTGTGGAATAGTTCCTTCAACTTTCGTCACTGCCAATCGAATTTCACTGTTGTTTTAATATTGTGATCGTTGTGTTCGAGCCTGATTCTCTGGTGTTTGTGTCGCGTTCTGAATTGAAGAATTTGTTTGCGGTACTCATCGAGTACCACCTCACTTGTGTTTTCGGAATTTTTTGTTTTATCTTCGATCTCAGAAGATAAGTGGCAGACTGCCCAGTGATTCTCCTCTTTTGTTGTGAGGATTTTTGTGTGTTGTATGTTCTGTGTTGTGCACTGACATGTGGATTTTTACCGAGCCTTTTGGATTAACCTTTGGGAATACTAATTTATGAGGTGAGTTCATGATACCGCAAAATTCTAGCCTCGGTTTACCACAGTGACTCGAAGGTTCTGCTTATGTTTTCTCCTCATGGTCTCTGAAATTACCTATCAATAAGTTAATAGGCATTCCAGCCCAGGCTTCTAATATGGCATTGTTTCATGCCCTCACTCTGTAATACCAAAAACCTGAATTTATGCTAAGTACTAAAATCATTTTGTTTGCATTATTTCCTTGAGAGAAACAGAAGGAAAGGGCTTAAATTCAACGAAACATTCATGAGCTTCCGCCGCAGTAAAGCATAAAATTCATTCGACGGTCCCTATAATTGACCGGCGCAAGACAGTTTGAACTGGAATAATCAAATTATAATACCGGACAATCGTACTCACATTAATTGCCGATGCATGTAAGTACTCGACTATTGAAATCATTTTTGAGAAGTACTAAGGACTTGCTACGCTGCCAAAATCGAAAAACAAATGTTCTTAACGGTAGTGCTGAACGCAGGAATATCGTAGCCTAAATCGCGGAAAGTGGAATGGTCCGAAAATTCGCTTTCAAATTCGCAAGACGCTTCAAAATTACTGCAGAGTTCGAATAATTTATCTTCGGTGCGCCTTAACATTCATCTGTTCAGTTCTCTGTTCGATACCTTCAATGTTGGAGGTCCAATATTAGTTGTTTACGGACAATTATGCCCATAACTCGAGCCTTAAATGACAGATTTAAGTAGGAAGAATAATTCTTCTTCTTCTTTTTTTTTTTTTTTTTTTTGGGAAAGAAAAAATAAATTTTAAAAAATTACTTCAGATGTCTTAATTTAGTTCGATAGGTTTATATTTTACGGAACGTTATCTTGATCACCTCCGTGCTCTAGGATATCTCTAAAATATGTATTTGAGTTTGGTGCTGCATCTTCATTTTTCAATAATCCAAGTAATTAATTCCTCGATAGGTATTTCAGTGCAAAATCTTCAATTAAAGGAAAAATTCTATTGCGCGAGTCGTTTAATGTCTCAATCACCACCCCCGAAAATTTGATTAGCCTCAGCTGAATCTCGTTTCATTCTCGATGAGGACTGCCCCACAACGCATTCATATCCTCCAAATCTCTTTAATCCAATATAATTCGGCCCATTTCATTTACACTCCAAAACAAGTTCCTGCCGAGGACCTTGCCTTGTTTCATCTTTCCATTCCGATTTTTTACCCGTTTTTATTTCACCGGCGAATGTCAGATCCAATTGACAACCGATTAGGAACCGTAAGCGGTCTCTCTCGAGGTAATAATCATTTAAAGATTCCCTTCATCCCGAATCTTAAGCGGGTTATGCTCATGCAGTTCGCTGGCCGAAGAATGTCCCGTCCTGACAATGGGATTTTGGAGAAAGGAGGAGAATTGAAAAGGCTCACCGGGAAATAAATAAAGACCCGAGTCTTGTATCTTGTAGTTTGTGAAAAGACTGATTCAACAGCTTCGCCTTCAGCCGCGCTGTTAACATGGGACCGTGTGTAGCCGGCTATTGGCACGTTGTAAGCGGAAGAAAAAGTGGCGTTTCTCAAAGCCGGCAAATTTCTCCCTGCCGACCTTTGTTGCCACCACTGCGAAGAGAGCACTGAGATTTGTTCATCTGTTGCCACTACGAAATAGAGTTTCAGTCCTTGATAAATACTTTAATAAAGGTTTAGAATCAAATTGCAATGTTTTAATTAAAATAAAAATAGGATCAAAGACTTCCTTCTTTGTCACGTAAACTGCAATATAATTCTGAATATCACTTAGAAATGTCGTAGGGTTACTACGTAAGAACAGGGATCACTCCATGCCATTTTTCCTTCTTCTTGGATGCGATTTAGGGTGTGATCAGTTTAAAATTTACAATTTATCCTCTACCGACTGCGCTGTTAAGAATACATAGTCATTTGCGATTAAATCCGTAAGAAATAATCCAATCTAAATAAATGCATTGAAAATAATACAAATTTATGTTAAAAATTTAGCTAAACGTACGAGTGTCATCCGTTGAATTTTTTCTCTGACAAAATCAAATACCGAGACTTGTGAACTAGGAATTCCATTTGATTTTTAGCAAGTTAAGAGCACCAAATCAAATATTTCGCGCATTTAAGTTACCTATTGGCTTATTAATTGCGGTTTTGGTGAGCTCGACTGATATTTGAGTATCGATTAAGTGTCCAAACCTGTTATTCGTAATTAGATACTTATATAAACTGTAATCAGCTCTCCAGTGATTAGTTGTCTCATTGCTTTAAAATTATTGTAATAAGTGACAAGAATTTAGCAGTACTTAAACTTTTTCTAAGTTCTCCTCATTTTGCGCAGAAAAAAAAAACCGAAAAATTCTGTGAAAATTTACTTAAAACGATGAAAATCATATGTTTTTCTGCAATACCTACACACTGTAAAAAAAATTTCACACACATTCCAATGTCGCTAAGATGGCGCAACTTTTTCATCTTGCAAAAATAAACTGATCACCTAGATAAGTTTTATGTTTACTCCCAATAAACTATAAATTCAAGACGAGAATTGCCCTTGTAAATTTAATTTTTTGTACGACTTCAGTAATCTTATTGAAAAGAATATAAGTTGCTCCTAGCAACATTGGAATGCTCTTGGTTCCTTTTTGTAAAATGCAATCGAACTCCGTCGAGACTGGACGGTACAGTTCGACGTTCGATTGGACTCACAATCAAAGCCGCCCTATTTCCTTATCGCCGCAAAACGTGAGACCAAACTTACATGATAGCCGCAATTATGTATTTATGTACCGTGTGAGCTCTGACGGCTCTATTTACTCGACGCTCGAGCTTTCGTCCATTCCCGGGGCAAACACCGCGGACTTTCTTGCGAGAACCGGGAACATCCCTATGATTCCAATTGAAGGTAGGAGGTTTTTGTCAAGGGGAGGATTTATGTAACGTTGTGCTACGTTCCTAACGTGTCGGAAAACTTTCTTTCCCCCGAACTGCAGTAACGCTTTTTTCCAAGCGCGCGATAGGAGTAATATAAGCTCTCGGTGGAAAATTCTCGCCTGGAGAATGTTTGTTGTACCTAAACATGCTATAGGTACTTTTAATTTTTTTTTTATGTCGGCTGATTTTTTTTTGCACAGCGGACGGCTGTAAGCATGCTCATTTTTAGATTTTGCACTGAAAAACAAGTGAAGTTGATTTAACATTCTAGGTGTAAAAAAAGTGTGCGAGAACCTTCAAAATGCTGAATTAACTCCTACAGCAGTAATTTTAGCAATGTCAAGATGTAAAACTAACTGCCGTGGTGGGTACTTTAGCATTTTGTGAGTTATCGCACACTTTTTTTACATCCAGAATGTTAAGTCAACTTCACTTTTTTTTCGGTGTGATCGATGATTAGACCTTTGGGTATTTATGGTTGTAAACCTGAACTTGCTGAAAGCTTAAGTTTGGAATATTGTCCATGCGCGAATTTAAGTCTAATTTCGAGGCTATTTTGACGCAACTTACAGTTGACCTTAACCAACGAATGACAATAAGATAAGCCGTCTTTTTAATATAATTTCTGATTCGGTTTTATTTGCTGAAGTACTTGTTTTTTTAAACGCCCGTTGCAATGATTGCCAATGTTATTGTCCGTCACCATCCAGATCATAAGCGAAAGCGATAAAATGGATACAGATCCGGCTTATTTTACTTGTAACAATTGATCGGGGTGTTTTTATTCTCTTACTCTTTTTTTAATCGTCAAATCTGCCTTAATATGAGCTGAGGGCACAGCAATATGTATCCTACCGAATGATGTGTCAAAGCAATTATTATTCATTTGAACAAATAAAACTCCTAGGCACTCTCTAATGACACCTTTCTCTCTCGCGAGAACTGACACATTTGCCTAAATCATTATTTTTTCATTATTCTTGACTCTTTTAAAATCATATATGATGGCAAACATTTTAGGTAGGAAGTTTTAAATCATATCTTATCAGAAATCTATACTTATTTTTAGTTATTTGATCTCATTTTTAACGGTTTTTTTTTTCTTTTTTTAAGTATTCTGGTCGTTACTGATGTAGTCAACTAGAGTCCCCACCTATTCTTTCTCAAATATTTGATGCACAAGCAAATTCACTCTTTCGACGGTTCTGATGCACGAGCGATGAACAGCGATGCATCAGGCCAACAGAAAATGTGCACTCTAACAAGATAAACTCGCTTTCAAGCAACGCTACCCCCTGTAAATTAGATGAATTATGACTTAATCCCCGCAAACCGGTGTTATTTTTAGCCCCTCATAGCGTCGGTAGCGCTTCCCGGGGAACACCTTTGCCGGCTGATAAGATCTTCGAGCTTTGAAAGACGCTCGGAATTATTAAAACTTCCTCTTGAAGCGCTCACGAGCCAAGAGCGGAGGTTTATGGTCCATGCCTTGCTTACGTTAGCTCGTCCAAGATTGTTTACAAGTTTTCATCTTTCTCCGATTTGAGCTATTTTCAGTCGGTGATCAGTACTTCTGGCCAAGAGTTTAAAATTTCCAAAAAATTGTCGAAAATTTCAGTTAGGCAATATGTATTTTTGGGCCTAATTACGTCGGCCTAACATCTTCCAGACCAGGAATAATTGAAGCCCTAGGTGCAGAAAGGACACTTCTCTGCCGTGTCTGAAATGGACTGCATTTTGCAATTTGGACCTATAAATTCTGGCTCATCTGAAAAAACACTTATGTGCATAGGGCAACTAATGGCACATACGTTGTTTTTAAACCGGGCCGGAATTTATAGTTCCTAATTGCAAAATGTAGTCCAAATGTGAGATCTACGGTGACGTTTCATCCGATGTGATTAGAAGAACATAAGTCTTTGAACTTTTTACTGATTAACTCTCAGTGATTTCACGATGACGTAAACGAAAAATTCCAGAAAATTCACACTTTGGTCTCCTCTCTAAAATATAAATTACTTGGCAGTGGATATTCTGAAACACCGCAATCCAGAATTGTCATTTTTCTTCCCAG